ATCGGAAATAATTTCAAAATGTAGACACGAACATAAGAACACCAAAGCCACCAAAATATAACTACCAACACCTATCATTAACACTATCTGTACTGTTACCAACACTAGCACCATACCCACTAACACAACCACCACTATAACAATCAACACAGACCGATAAAACTATCAACAACGTTATCTACACTACCATCAATCCTACCACTCTTAGATCAGTCACTTCATAACCATCTCCTCTACCATTAGTACTGATTTTTTTAACACTGTCATTGTTTTTATCATCGTCGTTATTATTGTTATATTATCTGTATTATTATCATCATCATTATCATGGTTACCACAACTATTATCATAATTACGATTGTCATCATCCCCCCTTTTTTACAATTTCGTCTCCATCATCATTAAGGCTAAATTTCACGTTAGTACATCAACAACTATTCTTAACGTATTAATAATTAATATCAGTTATTATCACTATCAGCATAATCACAATCGTCAACAACACACAAGGAATTAGCGTTGAAAATACAAACATCATCATCACCATGCCCACAAACAACAAAGCTTAACCAAAGAGCCAGACCAATAGGAGTGTATGTGCGCGTCTACATGTGTGTGAAGAATTGTAAGTTTGTCTAACGACGCAGATGCTAGATCTGAAAAGCGCCAAGAATAACCCTACCCGCTCCTTGTTGAAAGGAACATCGCTACATATATAAAAGCTACGGTCTCGGCACCGAAACAGAATTACATCTGCGTATGTATGTATATCCGAATGCCTAGCATCGTATTGTTTATATGGATGTGCTTGTGTGAACCCAAATGTGTACACCTGTATGTATGTGTGTATATGCATATGAGAGTGTCACCCCAAACACAGAAATAGATTCCCCATCCCACCACCAAACATCGTCAAACAAGCAAAAATAGATCCAATTTAAAAAAAAAAAAATAAACCATTTTGACTGATGATCAAAAAGACAAAATATTACATATATGATAGATGTTAACTTCAACATCCCGACTCTGTAGCTTCGTACACGGACCCTCCAGCAATCGCCCCATCCACTCGTCAGGGGATATCAGCAATTGACAGGTTATTTTCTGACTTTTCGTTATTATTATTAGATGCTATATATATATATATATATATATATATATATATATATATATATATATATACACAAATCCCATGCCTTTTCACTCCTGTTGAGGGAACCTCCACCTTGATTGACCATGTCTCCAGGCGCTTAGCTATACTCAACTGCCACTGAAAAGAATAAATAAATAAAAATAAAATAAAAATAAATAATATAAAATAAATAATCAAAAGCAAGTAAAATAAATTAATCCAAATAAATAAATAAATTAAATAATAAATTAACGAAGCAACCCGGCCAAAATAATAGAATAGACTACGCACAATGCAATAGAATACCCACAATGCACCACTAACCCGTAAATATAAATAATCGAGAAAAACACAATGAGGCCTGATGATTGCGTTTAGCATGAAATAGTGTGACGCCTCTGAGTGTTGACTTCAATATTAATTAAAAACAAATTGTTACCTCTTTTCTGAAAGTTAAAGTGAGAGGCATAAGGTCAGAATTAAAATCAGACTTGTGGGTATATCTTGATTAGCCAATTAAATGTCAGATCTACGCTAAATAAAAAATATATGCTCAGAGGGTGGAGGTGGGTGAGTTATTTTTTCATGTCATCATAAACTAGAACATAGGCCGTTGTTGAGGATTGCCGAAAATATGTCAGCAACAAATGTAGACAATTATGACATGTTCATTTTTTTGAAAGGGTGTTGAAAGGAAGGATAGGTTGATCAGACGTTAACAGAATTTGATTTTATATATATATATATATATATATATATATATATATATATATATATATATATATTCAGGAAGAAGGCGCCTGTAGATAAAATTAAAATGTGGAGGAACTATATAATACTAACTGGACTGCAATACGTGGCAAAATATTAAAGCTGAATACACAAAATAAGATACTTAGCCGTAGAGGGTGAACCATAAATTATGCTTATAATAAATGGTAATACGTAATGTTTAAAATTTAACTATATTTTAAGGTGAAAGATAAACTGTGTCGGCAATTTACCGTTAATTCACTCTTCTGGTTCAATAGATTTTGTCAGCAAATTTGATTATCTCTAATTTTTCTTGCAAATATAAGAAGCACGGTTTATTTAAAGATTTACAAGTTCTAGTTCTTTTTTAATATTTTCTATTTTACCGTAGGGGTTTTATTAACTTCTTTTAAGTTCCAAAAATATATTTTCTATACGGATTGTTGGTGAAAGATAATATATGATGATACCACCTAGTTTTAAAGGAATTCTTGGTACTTCCGATATAAAAGTTTTAACTGTTGGATTTTCTAAAGTAGAAATAATGCTCAGGTAAACAAGGGAATCTGTTTGACATCTGTTTTGTAATGGACACTCGTTAAAATTTCTACAATTACACTTGTTGGTATTATCAGCGCTTGCTGCTTTGGAATGGCAATTATTACTTTTGTTTTGATTTAAAATTTTATTATTATGTTTTTTAATAATTTTTTCAAGATTATCTGTACAGCTATAACTTAGTTTTAGTGTATTTCTATTTAAAATCTTACTAAGTGGATTATTTCTGGGGAAGTGTTTCTCAATTAAATTGAGAAAATTCTGTCCTAACTTAGTACTAACCATTTGATTAAATGGGGGTGTATATCAAATAATTTGTGTTTCTATTCTTATTCTTACTACCACTGTTATGTTTAATATATTTAATATCAGGGCACTTATAGCCACTATTTTTAAGGCATTGTTATAAAATTTAATATGTTTGTAAAAGACATCTTCACTGGAGAGTTATTGCTAATTCTATATTCTATGGAGTATGGTATGTGTTTGATTACGGATGGAGGGTGGTTAGAATTAGGGTGGATATATATTGGATTGGCGTTTGTTTTCATGTAGGTTTAGCATGCATTATTAACTAGGTCTAACGTAATATGAAGGGAATATAATTTTTAAAATTAGTGTTGATCTTAACTATAAGGTTGAGACTTTTAAATGTATTAATTTCTTGATTTTGTCAGCTTTAATTTTTGTAGAATTTTTCACCAACATAAGGCCATCATCTCTATATAACCCCATGCAGTCAATGTTGATATCTTGGTGTGCACCAGCATTATATAAGATGAATAATTCAACAAGTTCGGAAGGCTCAGCTGAGTCTAACGATCCCATAATGTAAAACTTATCTGTTATAAATTCTTGCACGTTATCGTAGCATGTTGGTGAAAAGACTTCCTGCATTTGGATTTATCTGATTTAAAATATAACGACACCACGTAAAACACTTTCGATTTTCTTCAACTTACTTTTTATATATATATATATATATATATATATATATATATATATATATATATATATATATATATTGTAACCAAATAATTGGTGAAGGAATAACAAAACAAGAGGTTGCAGATAAATCGTGTATTGAACAGTAAATACAACAGAAGTGGGAGTGTGTATCGGTTGACCAATGTTCAGTCTATATCACCATCATATTTAACGGCCCCCCATGTGGGTCGTATGTGGCACAAGGCCGGTTTATTGTGTGTTCTCCGAGCCCGTAGGTTCGGCCAAAAATATTCCCTTCGAACCCGTATAAACGGGTTCAGGACCTGTCTGCCTTTCCCGGACGAAACTTTGCCCTTCGGCAAAGCCTCGTCCGGGTTCCTCTCCGCCGAGGGAGAGAGTTTGACAGCAATGAACGGTTTGGAGCACCGTTCCTCCGAGGCATACTTTTCCTACTACTTTATTGTAAGTGGAAGAGTCCATAACAGACTCATTAGAGGGAAGACACTACAACACACACACACACACACACATATATATATATATATATAGAGAGAGAGAGAGAGAAAGAGAGAAACATTCATTACTTTGCAAAATACTTTTGCCAATAGTCAGCGAGTGGAATACAAAGAATGACCTCAAAAGGTCACATGAATAAAAAGATTTCGCAATGTGAACTCACTTCGTTTGAGGATTCAGACATCAAAAGAATTTTAGGATTCGCCATCAAAGATAATACATCAGTTATAACCTATTTTATGTGTCACACAATACCTATATATAATGCCTATGTATGCACAGAAATCAGTACAAGGAACCTTTTATTTATTTATTTACGCATTTTTGTTTATCTGCATTCATCGCCCACATTCTAAAGATTTCGACTGGATACAATATCCACACGAGAAATATGTCAGTCTCCAGTAGAAATATTTTCTTGAATTACTTATACTGTTATCTTGAATTTACTATTAGATGGAGCTTTTTTTTTTCGCTGATTTTCACCTAATACAAGGCTCAAGAGTCACTCAAGGTAAAAAGTTCCAAAATAAGTGTAAGAATAGGAAGTAAGGAGGATAGATTACGATTGACTTGAACAAGTTCAGATTATAGCGTTCGTTAATTACTGAGCGAATTTCCGAGATGAAGTATTATTATTATACACTGATGTTTTAAAACTGTTTTCCTCACCTTGTTTGTTATAGTCACAATGTCATGACCGTTCTACTCTCCGACATTCTTAAGTTAGTTATCATATTCAGTAAAGTTTAAAGAATTTCAAACAAACGTTTAAAACTGCCAAGAGATATTACTTGTGTTAGTCCTTTCTTCTGTCTTTCCGTGAGCTTTTTCTGATTGTTCCCCTGGATTTCAAAAGCAGGGATTGACTATGATGTAAATCAACGCTTATATTCACTTTGGTCATATTAAATAGTTACATCTTGTCCTGTTTTTAATATCCGGTAATTTGTCTAATTAATGTCACTGTTTCCTTCATCAGTTCCAGATTGGACACTGCTTATAGAGAGATCAACTGAGAGAGAAAGAGAGAGATCAACCGAGAGAGATCAACTGAGAGAGAAAGTGAGAGATCAACTGAGAGAGAGAGAGATTAACTGAGAGAGATCAACTGAGAGAGAAAGAGAGAGATCAACTGAGAGAGAAAAAAGAGATCAACTGAAGAAGTAAGAGAAAGATCAACTGAAAGAGAAAGATAGAGATTAACTGAAAGAGAAAGCGAGAGATTAACTGAGAGAGAAAGAGAGAGATCAACTGAAAGAGCAATGAGAAAAAATGAAAGAGTAAGAGAGAGATCAACAGAGAGAGAAAGATAAAGAGAGTGATCAACTGAAAGAGAGAAATCAACTGAGAGAGAAAGAAAGAGATCAAATGACAAAGAAAGAGAGCGGTCAAGTGAAAGAGAGATCAACTAAAAGGGAAAGTGTGATATCACATGAGAGAAAGCAAGAAATCAACTGTAAGAGAGAGAGAGAGATTAAATGGAAGTGAAAGAGAGAGATCAACCGAGGGAGTAAGAGAGAGATCAACTGAGAGAGAAAAATAGAGACAGAGTGAAAGAAAGCGATCTACTGAAAGAGAAAAAGAGAGATCAACTGAAAGGAAAAGAGAGATAGAGATCACATGTGGGAGAAAGAGAGGGCCCAGCTGAAAGAGAAAGAGAGTGATCTATTGAAAACTAGAGAGAGAGAGAGATCAACTGAAATCAGAAGAGAGAGATCAATTGGAAGATAAAATAAAGATCAAATTAAAAAGAAGAGAGAGATCAACGAAAAGAGAAAGAAAGCGATCAACTTAGAGGGAAAAAGTGAGATCAACTGAATGATAAAGCGTTCAACAGAGAGAGAAAGAGATAGATTGACTACGAGTGAAAGAGAGATATCAAGTGAGAGAGAAAGAGAGCGATCAGCTGAAAGAGAACGAGAGACATCAACTGAAGGAGAACGTGAGAGATCAACTGACAGAGAAAGGGAGAAATCAACTGAAAGAGAATAAAAAGATTAAATGGAAGAGAAAAAGAGAGAGTGATCAATTAAAGGAGAAAGGAGAGAGATCAATTGAGAGAGAAAAAGAGAGATCCACTGAAAGTGAAAGAGAAAGATTAACAGTGGGATACTGCTTCTCTTATTTAATTCCATTGTCACATAGAATTTTCTTATCATTTCTTTTCTATAGAAGAACACTTGGACAATTTCAGTAACATCCCTAAACAAAATGCGAAAAAACTATTTTTCATTCTTAGTCCCGCAACGCATATACACGTGCAAAAACACCTCCAGAAATTAATAAAATTCCATTCATGCCAATTGAAACTAAAATTTCTATGAAAAGTCTTTTGTTATCAAAAACAGTTTTCCATTTTTAAAGAAATTATTTTTGAATTCAGCAAAAGAATTTCTTAGCAAATCGTCTAACAACTACACAAGAGAATGATTTCTGTTTTGCCTTGACTACAAATAGAAAAACAATGACTCAAGTGAATTGCATGTTTGCTGGGCTGAGAAAATTCTTTTAAAATCGCCATTTATAAACATTTCACAATTATTTTACTTGTATTTTATTTTGCCTATCAACTGAATCAATTAAAAATGCCCATGTCGTTTGCTTTTACCCATTTATTAATGTTTCAAGCGGCCACGTAAAGATCACGCCACTGACAGCTTTCTAAAACGTTTCAAGTGCTTTGTAATTTCCACTTTGGACAAATTATTAAGTCTTAGAATGTTAGCAAAGTAATTACGTATTTCACAGCTATGAATTATGAGTCAACCAAAGCATGGTAGATGGTGAATGGTAAATGTGTCTACTATCCGAAAGTATGTCGTTTATCGAGCATTTCGGAGTTTAATTGGGAAAACTTGCAAAAAGAAATTTGGAATTCTTCATGAGTTTTCACTTGAGATACGAATACAACGTTTTATTATCTACAGCAGTTTTTAACCTCGATTTCCTGCCTTTCATTTTTGCATAGTATTATTATAGGTTATGAAAATGAGTTTTGCATTTTTTATCAATTCACCCCAAGAAAGGCAATAATGCCACTAAAACACAAGGGACTACAGGAAGTAAAAAAAGAACGAGAAAACTTTAGATGGAACCGGAAACCCAATCCTCAACAAGAAACAAGAGATAAACCTCTACTCCTGTTGAAAAGACCGGAGAGGAGTGTGAACCGGGCGAAATGTCAATAGAAAACGAAAAATCAGTGGTTACGACAACATGATAAGCCAATGCCAAAAGGAAACCAGAACTCTATACATAGAAGTCCTTTGGTGAAATAGGAAAGATGCTGTATACAACGAACAACTACAATAAGAAAGGACCATCACTGCAGATGTTTATTGCCAGAAACTTTATCGGATAAAGGAAGTATTACATCCAAAGCTATGGTTTCCCCGCATAACAACGCAAAGACTCACTCTACAAAAAAAAAAAAAACATGAAAAAAATAAAATAGTTATGATGACAGATTTTGAATAGATATAGTGCCTACAGATTCTAATTAGTTTCGATCACTTGAATATTTTCACGTAGAACACGAGAGCAAAGAAAATTTTCAACGTTTTCGCCGAGAACAAAACAGATTTGTTTAAAGGTTGAATCGCAGATTTGCTTTCCCTTTCGTACTGCACACGTTGGAAACGAAGGTGATTACGTTTTTGATAAATAATGTAGAAATAAATTTAATTTACATTTGTTTTCAGATCCTTTCTATTAAAACAATTACTTTTCGAATACACTAATAGTTATTCTGACATTTAAGTTTTATTTAAAGTTTTAATTAAAAACAAATAAACCGATATGAAGAACTAACTTTTGAAGAAATGCTGTATTTTTTACCCACCTTCTACTTCATGGCTTTGTTTGAATTTGTAGACTGATATTTTTACATCAAGTTATTCGAACAATCGTCCTCGTCTTTTTTGTATCACCACAACCTTTCGGTCATTGTATACTTCGGCCTTCTTCAGGTGTCTGTCCAAGCTGGTAACTTTCCGCAGTCCATGATTACTTGATTCTTCCTAGTTATGTCGTTTATCTATTCGCTTGAATCAGGGTACCTGACTGGGGTATTACCTGGGCCAGGATTGAACTCAAATCTACTTTTATCTACTAGCCTGTGTGTCTCATCAGACAATTTAGTGGTGGGAACTTCGAGCTTGAAATCTAATATTCATTGTCTCCTGCGTTAATTCTACCTGAATATATGACTTTCATTCCTTGCAATGTAATTAAATGTTGTCATTTTTTACTCTTTGACTTAATGCTTTTCCTTTCCTTAAAAATCCCATACAGTGTTCATTTCTAAGCTAGGACTATTGAGCATTGCATGTGTGCTGATTCCGTCAATTCCATTTTCTTACAGTGAAGTTCTCAGTTATTCTGACATTATACCACAGGGAGTGGCGACTCCCCATCTTTCCTCCACATATGATCAGCTATACTTGATTTCATCGTCTCCTTCCGGATCGCGATTTTCAAAAGTTCTTAGCTTCTTGGTCATGATCTCATTTTCTAAACTTAGCGAAATAGAGTTCGGGGCAAGATGGAGACAAAAGAAAAAGAATTACTACGCCATGACATTTACTTTGCTTGGACAAATATAGGGAATTAGTGTAGAAACATTGTGCTGCGTCACATCTTCAAAGTGAATGGAAAATCACTATTATAAATCTTGGCTTGAGTTCAAAGAAAATAGCTGAGCCATGAAACAGCTCAAAAATTTTCTATCTTTTGGGGTCTACTTTTCTGAAGTCTAACAGACGATTTTAAATCGAAGACTAAGTTACTTCTTGCAAATATAACTGTTCTCGTATATTCGTATAAAATATACTCGTTTCTGGTGTTGTCAAGCTCTGTGGAACCGTTTTATACATGATGTTCTTTACACGATATATTTATATTAATAATGAAGTATTAATAATGTTGCAATGTTCATCTGGACGGGCAATAACAAATTCGAAAATTGGAAAATACAATAAAAGATTAAAGAAACAAAATTGATCAGTCGAACAAAAAATGTTTAGTGTTTGTATTTTGTTTTTTGTTGTTTGTTTTTTAACCAAGGCGCTTTTGGCCAACACGTCTTCAGGAACCAACATTATCAAAATGATTGTATCAAAATTGGTATGAATAAATAAGTAATATGGAGGAAGATTTGGAATATGTCTAAAACGTATAACGTAATGATTAAAATATATGTAAATTCAAAAAGTTGTAAATACTTTAGCGTGTGTGTAAAATCTAAAAGAAATTAATACTCTGACGATCGTCCAAATAAATGAAGTGACCAAAGGAAGTTCTCGTTCTGCTTACATAAAGAAGGTTGCTGTAATTTAATCCATACAGCTTCACACTTGTAAATGGTGTTTGGAACGAGCCTTTAGGAAAATAGAGAATGAGTTTATAGAAAATAAGGAAGAGCATAGTTCATTCTGCAAAAGGTGTTGTCCAATCGTTGATTTATGCACAGATTGTGGAACACGAGTGTGATTATGGTGATTAAATCTAATGAATACAGGTACGTGTTGACCCAACCAAGTTTCCAACCAGAGGCACGTTCGTCCTAAATATTTAGCTGCGTATTGACATTTGAATTTATAAATTACAGAATTTTTATTTAGATAGGTCCTTTACAATAAAAACTGTCCTTTATATATAAGATCGATTTTTTAAAAAAACCCTTAAATCGTTCAGCTATAAGTGCTTTATCTTTATATCATGATCATTAGCATTTATTCAGTGAGCGAATTTTTTGCCACCGAGATCAGCCCCCCTCTGTTGTAATTGTGGTTCATGGTGACATTCAAAGCAGAATAGTGCAATGGCTTGCCGGTTCCTTTTGCAACGGTGATGCTGAGATTACCACGTCCCTCCTTCCAGAAGTTCCTCCACCCACTGGTAAAGCCGTTGTACTCTGAGGCGCAACTGGCAACTGGACGATAGCCGGCAGGTCGATGACCGGGGTGTGGCCGACGCAATGACCATGCAATTTCTTGGAGCCATGTGTGAAAGTTGGATGTAGGCCATTGACCAGTACAGTTCCGCATCCCAATTCACCTTATTAAAAACAGAGTCGACCGCTTCTCTGCAAAGCTAATACCACTGACGATACACCCCATACACTGCTACTTTGTCATGTTTTAACTTTTTTTATATCCGAGCAGGTATTTATTTTTTACTAAACGTTCACCTAATACTAGGTTCAGGATTATTTAACGAGGTTGCTGTATGGATGTAAGATTAGGCAGTAAGTGCAGATTATTAGAATTTGTAGGATAGATAATGGTTGACTTGAAGGCGGTAAGATTGTAGCGATCAAAGAAGAGGTTCTCGGGAAGAGGTTCTTCGAATGGAACTTCCATCTTAACAATGGAATATGACGGGAATAACAATATGTCCTCGTTATAAAACTAGAAACAGCTGGAACTAAGGAACTCAGCTCGTCAAAACATTCTTTTATGGAAATTGCGATAGAACAGCGAGAGTTCTGCGACATCCCGTCTGTAAGAAGAGGGAATTGTAGGGTTAAAAATAAATCACCTACAAATTACCGAACACGTTTTCTTTTTTTTTTCTTTTTTTTTTCTTTTTAATATTATATTACATAAAATCGAAGAAGATTTATTGTAAAAAGAAGAAGAATTTATTTCGTCAAAAGAAATAATAATCTCTCTCTATATCTCTCTCTCTCTCTCTCTCTCTCTCTCTCTCTCTCTATTAGCGAATATTTGTGTTTGATGATTTTAATGCTCATCACGTCAACTGGTTTAATTCTTCTAATGTTACCGATGTTACCTGTAGTCAGACTTTCAATTTTTCCGTTCCTCAGTCTCTCAGTCTCTCAGACAAATAGTGGATTCCCGTCTTCGTTTCTCTAGTAAATCGGTTTACTTCCTTCTTTACTTAATTTGTTCCTTACCTCCTCTTCTAGCTCTTGTCGAGCATCACAATTCTCTCCACTTGGTAATCCGGATCATCATATCTGTTGATATTTCTTTTGAGTCGTCCATTAGTAAGGGACCTCCTATTCATAAGACTTATTGATTGGCATTCATTACGTGACTTTCTTCGATACGCCTGATATTCTTAAGGGGTTTCTTCTTTGGTTAAAGCCGGCATCGATGCTGTTCTACCTTCTTGCAAATACCACAATCTTCTCTTGTGAAACCGCAATCTTCTCTTTGGTTCACACCTGCCTTTTAAGCCTCTATAGCCCATAGGAATCACTTTTTCCAGCTGTACAAGCGGGATAGTTCCGAACACAACAGACGTCTCAATGTGTCTGCTCGTAATACTTGTAAATGTCTACTCAAATAGGCTAAGTCTTTGTTTGCTGATAGAATGTGACACTGTACAGCCTCTAACAAGTTTGGTTCTTGTAACTCTTGGCAGCTCTGTAATAGTGTGTTAAATAAGAATAAGTTTTCTATCTCTCCCCTCTTTACTCAGTTTGAGGTGTTAACATCTTCTGCTGATAAAGTATAATGTTTTGCTCATAAATTCTCTTTAAATTCTACTCTTCACTCATCTGAAGAACCTTTACCTGACTTTCCATTTAGAAATGTGTCTCTATTGAGTGACATGCATTTCTGGATGTATCAGTGTGAGAATTCTGATCACAACAGATGCCTATTTGTGACTGCTTGAAATAATTGTATACATAATCTCAAAGAGGCTAAGTCTTTCTTTGCTGATAAAATGAGGCACTGTATAGATTCATATTTTAATGAAGTAATTTAAAAAGTATTTAGCAAATAAGGATTTCAAAGAAAATAATATTTGAATAAAAATTTAAAATTGCATCTATATTATTAGAATTACTAAGGTTATAAGAGAACTTTATAACAATCATACTTATTATAAAACCCAGGTTGTGTGTGTGTGTGTGTGTGTGTGTGTGTGTGTGTGTGTGTGTGTGTGTGTGTGTGTGTGTGTGTGTGTGTGTGTGTGTGTACGTTTTTCAACCGATTTCAACAAAACTCCACAGGACTACGTAAAATTAACTTGCGGTGGTTCTGACAGTGCCAAAAATTGGAAAAACACAATTGTTTTTGCACGAAATCAATTTGAAAACACAATTAAGAGGCATCGCTGTCGCGAGAATGAAAGGAGGACAACTCATATCGAGTTATACTTATTATAAAAACTCAGGCCGTTTGTGTTTGTGTGTGTTCGTTTATATATGGGATCGGATTTCCTACATTTTCAACCGATTTCAACAAAACTTCACTTTTTTTTTGGCAGGTAGTGTTTCTTATTGTCTTGCACACTTTTTTCTTTATTTTTACATTCAGAATGCTTTAAAAATTCCATTTACAACACAATTGTTTATAATAAAATTCTATTCAATCGGTAGACTCATAACGATTGAAAACAATGTTTTTGTTTGAGTTTGAGTTTGGGTTTGACCAATTCATAAAAAAAAAAAAATAATTAAGACATGCGTGTCCGTCAACCTTAAACAATAATCTTTGTCAATTTTATTTTTCAGTCGTTATGATGGTCGATACTTGATCTATCTCTTACTGTTAGATCCCTGGGCATCGCCGGGCTCTACTGCTAGTCTATAATAAAAGAATAGATTCATCTATCATTTATGTATCTATTTAAATGTAAATTGAAAATAATAATATAAGCTTAAGATACCAAAATAATTTAAGGAAATTTTTAAACATTTTAAAAGCATCATGAACCTAAATAATAAAACTGTTCAAAAGTCTTCTTTATTTGATTTGTTCCTTCCCTCCTTTTTTAGCTCTTGTAGTGCATCACAACTCTGTCCACTTGGCAATTCAGATCACACTGATTGATATTACTCTTGAGTCATCTATTAGAAAGGAACAATCTATTCATATAACTTCTTTTGGTTACCACCATACTGATTGGGATTCATTTCATGACTTTTTTCGAGACACCCCTTGGATTGATATTCTTTACCTTCCTATTGAGAATTGTGCCACAGATATTTCTTCTTAGGTTAAAGCCAGCATGATGCTTTTGTACCTTCCTGTAAATATAAAGTGAAGCAACAATTTCTCCTTGGTTCAAATCAGCCTGTTCAGCTGCTATAGCCTATAGGAATCACTTTTTCAGGGTGTATCAGTGTGATAATTCTGATCACAACAGATGCCTATTTGTGACAGCTTGAAATAATTGTATACATAATCTCAAAGGGGCTAAGTCTTTCTTTGCTGATAAAATGAGGCACTGTATAGACTCTAACAAGTTTAGTTCACATGGCTACCAGCAGCTCTGTGTGTTAAATAAGAATAAGTTTTCTATTTCTCCTCTCTTTACTCAATCTTCTGTTGTTAAAGCAGAATGCTTTTCTGGTAGTAAATTCCCTTCAAATTCTACTTTACACTCACTTTACACTTAGAACTGAGTCACTTTTAAGTGATATACATAGAATCACGTCTATGGTTTCTACTATCATCTCTAGCCTACATCCCCCTCAAAGCATGTGAGCTTGATGATATCCATGAAATATTCCTCATGTTCTCTACATAAAAATGCCTTGCTGTTCTGTGCTTTCCTGCTTATTAGAAATCCCCCTTTCGTAGTTCCAGTCTTTAAGAACTCAGGCGAATAGTCTGATCCTTCTAACTACCAGCCTATTAGCCTTCTGCCTCTTTTTGGCAAAGTACTAGAGGCTCTGGATTGGTTAAGCATCTCACCTCGCAGGGTCTTCTTTCAGATAAACAATATGGCTTTCACTTCTCTAGGTCAACTGCTGATGTATTAACGATTATTGTTGAAAGAGTCTATCAAACTTTAGATAAGAATGATGAGCCTTGAGCTGTTTCTTTGCATATCTCAAAGGCATTTCACAGGGTTTGGTATATTAGTGTTCTTGTGTTCTTGTGTTCTTGTTATCGTATTTTTGGACGAATTTATGAACTGATTCAGTCTTATCAAATGGCGGAATGAATACTATCTTAACTGACCACTCCTCTAGATCTTTTCTCATCAATGCAGGTGCCCCCCCCCACCAGAGCTCTATCCTTGGATCAACGTTTTTCTTAATTTTCATTAACGACCTTCCTGATGGCATCCGATCTAAACTTGGTATCTATGCTGATGACATAACTATTTACTCTTGTCTTAATAGTAAATCTAATTGGTTCGAAAAGATTAAATTGGCAGTTAATCTCAAAAATGACCTATAATCTGTTGTTAACTGGAGCAAGGAATGGCTCTTTAATTTTAATGCCTCCAAAACGTAACTGTGCTCTAATAATCGTTTCAGAAAATCCTTTCTGCCTTCCATCAGCATGGCTGATACTAACCTCCAGAACAATGGCTCATTGTGCCGCCTAGTCCCCTCATGCTGGAAAGTCTTGATCACTGCGCCAATTAATACAATGTTGTATAGCCCATTGATGGGGGTGGTCTTGGGTGACGTCTTCAGTTCGATAATAAAG